TTCTCTTTAGATGTTTAAATGAACTACTTAAAATGTATGTGCAATATTTCCCCAGTGATAGGTGGGGGAAAAAGGGCACATGGGCAGTTTGCCTCTTTAGATGTTTAAATGGACTGCTTAAAATGTGCTGTTATGTGCAATATTTCCCCAGTGATGGGGGGGGAAAAAGGGCACATGGGCAGTTTGCTACCTACCTCATCAGTCTTGCTGAAGGTTACACGCTAAGCCAACAAATGTCCCCAGCTGCTGCTCTGGCTCTGTCTCCTGGGCGCATCATGCCTCCCTTTGAAAAGCAAGAGGCCCTGCTAGTGTTCAGGTAACCTTCCCATGCCCATCTCCATGCTCCTTGTCTCGGGGTGGAGGCGTCATATCCCATCTGAACAAATGCCAGGCAACTGCTCCTTCCACGACTTGTCAGATAATCTGAAGACTGGCTCCGTATTAATTAAAAATTAAATAAAAGTTATCTGCCTGTGACTAGCTTTCACTTTTTATGTCAAACTGTTTCTTACCGGCAAGGCAAGGTTGCACAGCACACCCAGGTGAAACCTTCGGCCTGTAATTCCTGTAATCACGTCAAAAGAGGAAGCGTGGCTTTCGGGCCACTGCAGCTTGGGCAGGAATCATTTCAAGATTTTACCCAGTGCAACTTTAAATGACTTACACGCTTGTTGGTTCTCAGGGAGAGATTGTCCCACAGCCTCAAAGACCTCTTGCTGTGTGGAAAAATGTCTTTTCCTTTCTTTCTGCCTCAGATTTTCCATTAACAAATTTTTATCCCAAAGTGTACACCCACACAGCCTGTTTGAACTCTTCTTCTGTGTTTTTATGACCTTCCAGTGCTAGCAGACATTTACTACATCCCTCTTGTCTAGTGGCCAGATTATGTGTATTGAAACTTCCTATATAAATGCATCCCTTCAGTGCCTTAATCTCTTTTGGTGGCTTTTTTTCCTCCTCCTTTGAATATTTTCCCATCCTCACTGCTCTTTTTACAGTCTCTGGCCTCTGTCTGGAGATTCGCTTCTTGAGAACGCTCAGGAAGCCTCAGGCAATACAGGAAAAATCTCGTCGGATGGTGGGGAAGGGAGGGCAAGGGAGGAAGCCCCAAGTGTTTGGCATCGTGCTCCTTGTAAAAGGAGATTCACAACAGTTCCATATTAGCATTAATAATAAAAACGGCATCGCATGTTCACCTTTGTTATACTAATCACATTTTAGATGTTGATAATTTTTCTTGCTGGAGAAACCAAACAGCTTGGGCTGGCAGGTGAGAAATACATGAGAACAGTTTTTGGAGATGTTCAGTGTTTCCTTATACTGCGGCTGCAAGTCAATAGCTGTATTGTTACACTCCCACTATATACTGGTATAACGCCAGCAAGTAAATTAGCATTTTGTGTTTGCAAATTCAATGCTTTGTAAAACTAAACCCTTATTTTGATTTCATGATGTTGTAGGACACTGCTTTGAATACTTGGAGGGAAAAGCAGTGTATAACACTTAGTTTCAGCATGTCCCACGTGAAAATATCTCCCTGCCTGTAGCCTGACTCATGAATACTATATTCTTATCAACTACCTCCTGGCACAAAACCATGTGTATATACACACTGGTTCTTGTTCTCTCCCAGCCCTTATGCCACACTGCAGAGGTGCTGTTTTGAATGGTTTCTAAATCTTACTTTTCTAGTCTGACAGTGTTAGCCAGTGACATTGCCTTCAGGCCCTTAAAATGAAGGCCACCGATGACTTATGTCTGTGTGAATAGCTAATAGTGGAGTGTAATACGTGCAGAATGACAGGAAAAGATGACTTTTCCCATTTGAGTGTGTTAGAGGCAATACTGAATTTCAGCACTACTTGAGCATAGGGCAGGCTGGACTCACGCCGTAGTGGGGACGTGAAGCAGGCAGCTAAACACATCCGTGAGTGGTCAGAACCGAAGCAGGATCCAGGATCCAGCCTTTGCTCCTGGTTCAGCGAGGGCTCATCCAAGCAGGAGCCAGCTCTGCCGTGAGATGCTGATAAGAAACACGGGCGCCGCACTTGAACTGCACTGTCCAGCCACAACACGGACACCTGAAGAGGAAGAAGACGCCAAGAAAACAGGCTTTGAAGTTGTTTTCTATGAGCCAAAATTAACTTCAATTTTAGAAATTTTTAGAAGAAAAAAAGCAGATTGGAAAGTAATGCAAAACAAAGCACAGAGCAAAACCTTGAGGGGGGTCCGAGTAGCATGTGTGCAGTGATGGACTCAAAAATCCAGATAACACCTTGATGACAGAGAGACAAAAATTATCTCTAATTCTGCTTGTTCTAAGGGCCCAAACTGACCAAATCTGGGATATATTTCATCATGAAGATGTTTTATTTTCAGTATTAACTTGGAAAGAAAGAAAAAAAAAGACCATTAAAGAGCCAAACAAACTAGGCCCTTATCGGAAAGGATCTTTCAAGGACTTGAGCCCGTGAGAACTGGTGCCACAGGGACAAGAGGTTCGTTTTTGCCAGGCTCTGGCTTCTCCCCAAGGAAAGTGATGGACCCTGATGAGCATCCGGACTTCACGGTGCTCAGGATGATACTCCTGCCCCAAAAGCAGCGAGTCCAGCTTTGGTGACCGTCCGTCAGAAAAGCCTTGCAAATCAAAAGCCTCTTTCAAATGGCCAAATTATATTTCTGTTGGCTGAGACTTTAAAAGTTTCTTAAAGTTGCCTGAATTAACAGCTGTCTTTGGCTTCATTTTTCACCTTAGTCAGTTGTTTGTATATCCTCCTGGCCTTCTCTTTGGCTTTGCTTCATTGCTGTGTGTGCTTTAACTTTCTCCAATTACTTTCACACGTAATTATTTCTTTTAAGAGAACGCAGGATTCCAGAACTCTTCCTGCTTTCTCTCTCTCTCCATAGAAAATAGGAAAGCAGTGAATTCTTTTTCATCATTTCATCCAATTGACTATCAAGTAGGAATTGATTTTGCTTCCTGTCAGATTCAAGAGTACCTTTCAACGAACCAGTAGCAAAACTGGTGCTTAATTTTTCCTTTTGAGGGGGAACAGGAAGCTGGTACCAGGGGAGTATTTCTGTCCAACTGACTGGATCCGGAAGCCAGTAGTCCCCAAAGTTTGAAATTGCTTTACTATCCAACTTTAGAAATTATAAAAGAGTGGCCTAGGAGATGATAGTTGAGATAAAAAAGTTGGCACTATTATCTAAGGAATCTGCGGCCATGGAACTTTGATTTTTCTTAACTAAAAGCAGATAAATAACCTGGGCAACCCCAGTGACCCAACAGACCTATTTAAAATCAGTCTTTTGCATACATCTCTTCTCTTAAGAAATACATTTCTTTAGTTACTGACTGCTGTTTTTCCTATATTTTTGAGCTACTTTACTAGCCTTGTTAGCGATCAGATGGAGCCAAGTCCTGCCATCCACAGCTCAGATAACAGAGGCGGCCTGTAGTGGAAAGGGGCAGATCGGGGTAAGTCAGGACTGGGCAGGTCCACTTGGATCTGTGACGACAGCAAAGTCTGTCCCAAACTGCTTTTACTGGGGAAAGATTTCCCTTCAACAGTCACCAGGAAAAGCCTCGAAGTATAAAAGCATCTTAAACTATCGGAGACACAGCGCCTCTCCGTGAATTTCCCTTTGCAGCCTTTCAGTCTGGGCCTTGGCAAGCAGCAAGGCCCAAAAATGCCTTGGGAGACCAGGGCAAGAGCCATTTTACCTCCCAGGAACACACTGCGGACGTGGCAGCAGAAAGAAGGCAGAATAAAGACGTTACACTGCTCCTATTTTAAACATTTAATAGTGCACTTATTGATTATATTCTGTACAGACATATATAGCAAGTTAAACATTTTCCTTTCTCTCGCTTAGACCATAGTCATGTAAAGCACATTTACAATAGAAAACTTACTTGAGGTACAAAAACTCAAAAAGAATATCTGAGGTATAAATACAGGTATATTTTAAATAATCTTTACCATGCTTTATCTATGTTTGACAGTACACTGTGGGCAAGTATACATGTTTACAATAGAATGCTATGTACAACATACAATTTTACAAATTCAAAAGTGTTTGATGTAGAAGAATATACAAGATTTTCCTACCCATGAGGAACACTGTTACTGGAAGTACTACATTATTTGCCATAATTAAAAAAAAAAAAACCAAAAAACCAAAACTTCATCAAAAAGCTTAAAATAATACTGACAATGGTAACAAAGTCTCAGTCAAATTCCCATCTTGCAACTCATTCATACCTTAGCCACGAAATACATTTATCACTTAATACTGCACCTCTAAAGCAAATCCCTATCTTTACAGTAAAACCTACAGAAAGATGCCTTTCCAGAGGACCTCAGGATTCCCTACAGTTCATACAATAAGATGGTCCGGGGTGGAGTATATCCCAAAAGGTTCAAACAAACAAACAAAAGGAAAACAACAAAAAAAAACCCCTCCAAAAACCACACACAAGACATAATCCTGCCCTCTGCCCCCAAAGCAAGCCCTCCACATTGCTCATACTCTGGTTCTGTTCTTGTTAACATGTAACTTTAAAAAAAAAAAAAAAAAAAAGCCAAGGAGAGAGAGAGAGAACTGTTATGAATCTTCCTTGTCACCTTACTCCTTCTGCTTCTGTAGGAGTTCTGCCAAGAACTCCACTGTTTACCTTTTCCTCTTCAACTATTAGAATATAGTAAATATATGAAAGTTCATTAAAACACATATAGTTAATGCAGGTAGGAGTCAATGCAACAAATATTATTAGGAAATATAACAATTGACATTACTGGCTCTCTTGACCATTGCAAAGGCATTTCAGTTCTAAGCTGCTATGTTGCTTAAAAGCATATTTATTTAAAATTGCTATAGAATTGCACTAATCACTCCTAAAAAAAGATGGTCTGGATAAGGAGCGAACAGTAATCAATCTGAGCAAGTCTATTATTATAACAGCCACATGGAGATTTTAACAGTGTTCTAGCTGAGGCAAGTTTAGAACTGGGAATGGGAAGGATGGCTACCTTCTGGTCCACGGGGCATCAAATCGGAGGTTGAACTGTAACCAATATGCTAAAATCCACTCTGGTTGCCTATCAGTGTACCAGACACGTTTCAAGCTCGACTTCTGCTATCCTTTCAACCATTAACACACTCATTCACACTTCAATCTGTGCAAACCTTTCTCTGCTTATCTCAGTGAGAACACATTGAAGAGTACCAACTATTCCAGTGGATACATCAGTCCCTCAACGCATTACAAATAAAATGACATGGGTATGTACATAAAGCTAAATATTTCACATGGGAATGATGAGCCTTCACCATATTTCATAATATATTTTCATTTAAAGATTTTTGCTTCTCAGAAGCAATTCACACCATCTAATAGTACAACACCTTTTTGCACAGTCCTCCTATGTATTCCAGTCGAGGCCTACACTATAGACCTTACACAGACAGGAAGCAGCTTTAAAGTGTACGGTATGGCCACAGTCCTATAGCAATGCTCACAGTCAGGTTCTCATGCTGTCATCCCTTCATGGAAGCCCAGCAGGCCGTAGACCAGGCCGGGCCGCAGCGGGTGATGCTCAGTTTCGGGTAATGGACGGTGCTGAGGTGCGGAGCGCGCAGCTCTTCCTCTTCGGTAGTCACCTGGATTTTGCTTCTTTGCTGTCAAGACTCTGGTGGCTGAACGAGTCTCGTATCTTAACTACTTCAGACGCGCACAAGTGTCCAAAGGACTTGGTGTACCAGTCTGGCATGTGGCCCCTGGTGCAAGGAGAAAAGGGAAATGTCAAACAGATACTGGTAACATTGAACATTTTTCCTTAGTCAGAATCAAAGAGCTAGCTAGCTCATTAGATGTCTCTCTGGGAAATCTGATTAGTACTTGTCACTTGACGCAGCCTTACTGATATTCAGACCACAGCCTTACTGATATTCAGACTTGCTCTTCTCTCTGCCACAGACCACAACAGGCCATAACAAGACACAAGAAGAAGTGACACCGATGTTTTGTGAAAAACAGAGCGCATAGTGCGGGCTCCTAATGCAAAGCAACAAACAGACCCTGCTCTGAAATGTGCACTGACACACGTGACATCCCAGTCTTCTGCATATGCATTTGAGAAACACACGTATCACTGGCTAAGTAAAGCGGTTGGACTGTTTGCATTTTGCACTGGCTTCAGGAAAAGCTACATAGGAGAAATTACCCCCAGAAAAGGACATAAGAGGTTACCACCCAAGAAGTAGAAGCCCATACCTTAAATCAATTCTGCACATGTAGGTAAGCTTAGATTTTCCTGACCCGCAGGGCTCAATCAGATACCTAGACAACAGGACATTGACTCTGACACCTGCCACTGGAGCGTGGTCATAATCCACTGAGGTTGCCAAGAGAACACAAGCTCCTTTGGGGAAGTTTGTCCTCCAGGTTCTACAGAGAAAAAACAAATCAACAAAAAAGTGGATTTGTCCTCAGTAAACAGTGACTCAAACATCTAATAAGCTTATAATTAAACATAAAAAGATGTGTATTTACATATCATCCTTTACTACATAATTCTATAGGCAAGGTTAGTGTGTGGGTGACATTAAGAGAATTGTATATGAGCAATTTACCTTAAGACTACAAAGTCTCTGGCTGGCTGAGGTGCCATGCTGTTCTGGACGTATTGGTATATATCTGTCTGGCTATCCAAAGTTTCAATCACTTTAGAATCTATAAGATCTTCATCCCAAAGATGCTGCTCCTTAAGTACACGATTTAAAACTTCCTCTGGTGTAGCAGGGATTTCAATTGTAGTTTTCCATAACCGGAGCGGGGGACCTTCGCATACCTGAGGAAAAAAAATCAGCACGCAGTCCTCAGTTTCACTGTTGCTTACACTTTCTTCTCCCTTCTATTTCAGTGTTGGAGAAACACAAATTACAAAAGGAATTACATTGTGCTAAGACTGTCATACGTTCACACTGAGGTTGTTTTGCCTGAAGGCATCTGCATGCTGACTTCCAAATGATTCTTAAGTTACAGTCATCTTTCCCAGTATGAGCATTATTCAATCATAATCCTAGCAGAAAATATCCTCATTTTCCAACATTACTTTTTGACATATTAACTTAAATCCTGCTGAAACAGTTCTCCCTGTGCTAGCTTCCAAGCTGTTGAAGCTACTTGTTTCCTACTGCCTGCAGTGTAGGGCAAGTGCCTGGAGGCTTCATTCCTCCTGTCAAGGCTTTGCCCCAAGTGAGCGAAGGAAGTAAATGCAACACATCGAACAGTATTGGGCTGGATAAACACATTTCACTACGCATTAGGTGACTGCTGCTAAAAGACATGTTGTTTCAGATGAAGTGCAACTATATCCTGTCAAAAGATTAATTGGTTTCTTCCTTAAGTTTCTGCAAAATAAGGATATGCGCTGAACCTTCTGCAATATTCTACATCGTAGATGGTCTAAGACGGGCTAGGAAACAGAGCTGTGCAGTACAACATAGGGTACATACCTTCTTGTAGGCCAGATCTGCTTGTTCTGAGGTGGAACAGCTGAGCCAGCCTTTAAATTTCTCCTTCATCTCTTTGAGCAAGTCATCCATGCAGTCCTGGAGGTAGCAGTGGTAGTCGGAGGGCTCCGTGCTGCTGCTGCTGCCCCTGAGCTCCTCCAGGCTGAGGGGCCGCAGGTCTTGCTCCGTGTACGAGTTCCGACCTCTGCTCATTTCCTCAGGGATCTGGGGGTGACAAGGATGAAGTTACCCTCTTGCAACTCCCTCTCTCCAAACCACAGAGCTTTGCCTAGGGGCATGCTGGCTCTATAGGCCACAAGGCGCATGCAGCTCTTTAACATTCAACTATTCCTGCATTTTTCTTTTTAAACATCAGCCGTGCACTTGAGATTGAAGTAGTCTCTTGTTCACAGATGCTCCCTGCCTACTCCCTTCACTCTGGGATACAAAGTTGTCAGTAGGAACACTCAGTGCCAGAAAAGTAGATGCCTGGAGAGGTTTATGGTATGTATGTGCATGTAATTCACATATATATTCACATATGTATATATGTGAATTACAATTCACATGGGTATGTAATTCATCTATGTATTAGCTACATATGAACCATTTTTAAAAGGATGTATTTGTCAGGTGAAGCACTCAATGGAAATTAAATTTGTGTGTGTGTGACCCTGACTTGACCTGCTCATGCATATTCATTGCAGCAGTCTCTCAGCTATGGTGTGCCTTCATTCTGATCTGTTCTAAGCAGCATCCCTCCCGAGCTGCACAGCTTGGATTGATGTCTGCATTGCAGCTTATCTTGCAGACTGAGTGAAGCAGGGGTCAGCTGCCAGTTGTGAGAAGAGAGACGGAACGTCTTTAGTTGCGGGTTCCGAAAAGATTTGATGACAGTGAGGAAAACCAGGACTCAGACTTGCCTGGTTCTCCATCCCAGGCACTCGTTAGGGAGCATTCGTTAGTTGTTACAGACTTTTCAACCTACAGTCTGATAGTGTCAAGTTCCAGGATGCTTTTGGGGCCTAGCCTGGCTAACTCCTGGAATTTAAATATAAAAAAAACACTGCATTTCCTAGAAATAGTGTCTTGCTTTGTAATTAAAACTGAAATTCACAGATCCCCATGGCTGCAGAAGAAAGGTTTGAAAGTATGTTTCTGATGCAGCTTGGATGTCCTAAAAAGCCCCAAACCCCAGGACAATTGTCTCACGACTTCTGAGTACCAGTGTCACCAAATTTCCCTTCTCCCGGTACCACTTCTCATTCACATATGTACCCACGGCAGGATGCAGACTTCAAAAAAAACCAAATCTATTTATCACATACTTCCCTAAGTTAAAGGGACACTCCTGGCTTTCCATTAGCAGATCTAAACCACGTTGGCCAACATTCCACCCATTAGTTTTGCAGATAGATGTTTTACCTGAAAGAGCTTCTTGCATTCGGCAATCATATGAGCCAGCCCTTGGGTTGCAGCCAAATTTTCATTTAAATCTTTCTGATCAGGCTTTCCCAGGCTTGGTTTCCTTTGCATCACCCTTCACAGAGGAGAAAAACACACACACATATCCAGTTATTTAATAAAGAACAAGAAAGCTGTTTGGGGAGAAAACAGTAGGATTCCAAAATCTGCTGGTGATTTAGAGCAGTGCTGCTTGGGACAGAATCTCGGCATGGTGTTATTGACTAAACTTTTCTTTGGAATCCCTCTGTTTATCCCCTTCTGTGAACTCATTTGTATTTTAATAAATCTGTAAAAGCAAAACAATACAAAACAAAAGTGGGATCGAACAAGCATTCTAAGCCCACTATCTTCTGAGATGTTCACAGTGACCGAAAGCAGCAGGGCTGATAGGAGGGAAGTCACCGTGTCACCGCTGCGCGACACGGCGATGCTAGCGGGGCTCCAGCCGCAAGGAGACCTACCTTGGGGAAGAGTTCTCTCTTTTGAGAGTGTTTAAGTGGAAGAGGGAAGGTGCTAAGCACACAGCCAGGTTGGTTGGTGTCATCTGGTTTTCCTTCACTGCAGCTGTGACATCGCTCAGGAAATAGAGAAGAATCTGAAGGACTTCCCTGTTCTCATCGGGTAAAAGCATAATGGCAGCCTTGATAGCCTGGAGACGCTGGTCCTTTGGCACATCTGCATAATATTAGTAATTCTCTCATCAGCCCGTTGATTTTCCACACACACAGCATGAATACATCCCAAAGCAAACTCCAGCTTCAAATATTTGACTCGAGTTTGAAGTGATTTCCTTCAGGATGCATACCATTCGTAGGAAACATGAAGGAATTTTTTTAACCCACTAGTTTAACTACCCTCAGTTATTTCCTGCCTCACAAGAAAGTCAAGCAAGAAGGAGCTGTGCCTAGGCCAGAGTTAATTTTAGATTACTTTCAGCAGCTCCGTGCTCCTGCGGATGCACTAAAATGACAGAAGCCTGGACTCGGGCAGCGAACAAGCAAACACAGTCCAGCCAATTTAGACTCTAGCTCAAATTCCTTGGCTTTCAAAGAATTTTAAAACATTAGCGCATTTTAGAATAGGTGAATCAATTAAATAAATTGGCCAACAAACCTTTTCAACAATGATGTCATAAAATACCCAGAAAGTGCTTTACCAAACAGAGGTTGCTTTATTGAGCAGATCATTCAAAGTCACGCGGTGGAAAAAGAAAGTCAATGATGTGAAGCCCCATACCATTAAACAGCTCCTTGGTTACTAACAACAAACATCCATTGGAAAAATTTGACGTGTGTCTTTATATAAAGGTCCTCCCCCCCAAACTCAAAGGGAACAAATAATGAAATAACCCAGACCAGATCTGCTTCTTATAAAGGGATTTCCAGCAAGCCCTCTCTGAAGAAAACATGAGGAGTCTGAGTCCTGCAGCATTTATACCATCATTAACCTCACAGAAAACTGCTGCATGACTCCTATACATGTGTTACTAACCAGATATTTAATTTATATTTGCTTCAGTAACTTAGTAAGGCTGGCAAATGAGTTTAGAACGCAGTTTTACCCCCAAATTCACTATTTTCCCCACTCTCCTCTCAATCAGCTCAAAGCATGTTTAAGTCATGTACAGACAATTCCAATACGTATGCAGGCACTCCTCTTCAAAAAGGAGGGAGATTTTGCCCTTTGCAGGTTAGCAACGATACAGTTGCTTGAAGATTCTCTATGCAGCAGCTAACACTGTCCCACCACCTCTGGAAATTTCTTAGACTTATTGCTGGTGAAAAGAAAGGAAGAGAGACTTCTGCAATACCACGTCAAACTGCTTTGGGTACTAAAGTCAGAAAGAATTGCCATGTAATACGCAAAGAATATGTATGGGGGGCCTGATTCCCTGATTCATTTTTTCCATAAACCTTCTTGGGAATCCGAAAAAAAAAACAACAAAAAAAAAGCATGCACTGAAATAGCAGTGCATACATCTTCATTGTAAGCTGTCACCTACGGAACTCTGAAGGAAGGTCCTGGATGATATAAAGCCTTAGTGCCATCTCCCAAGCAAGGCACAAGACACGGCAGGAAGCTCTGCTGGAGCTGGGCTACCACGGGAAAGGAGCCAGGGCAATGTCAGGGAGGGAAACCACGGAGCCAGAAGGTGCCTACAGTATATCAGCTTGGACCTCCCTGAGGATTTCCAAAGATCTAGGAGTTCTGATCAGCAAAATATTAATCTATCTTTATCCATTTTATACAGTGAGTGAATTTCTGGTGAAGGATGAAAAAATATGAAATACAAAAAAAAGGAAGTTTTTTGGCAGTCCCACTCTCAAAAAAAAAAGTCTCATCAATTGGAGAGTGGATTTATAAACCCCTCGAAAGCCCCAAACTCTGTTTATGCAGTGTTTGCTTAAATCCTCCACCTAGCCACATCAGATGTGGTTTATTTTCAAGCTGTAGTATCAAGCATGCTCAGAAAGGAGAGGAAATTTTAGAGTGATAGAAGTTCTATATTTGTTCCCAAACTACAGAGAAGGGTGAAAATTGAAGAACTTGAACTCTATCATTCCCGTAAGCAGATCAAAAAAAAAAAAAAAAATCAGCCCCATGATGCAGCCTAAATCATAATGGATACTAGAGAAAAACAAAGAAGATGGTGGCATTTGGTGACAAATCATATTAAGTACAACACGTATAGTGCCCAGAGGAGGAATACTAGCTACACAAGTGCCAACTTGCTGCCTAGCCTTAGAAATCTTAGTACTTACATTGGTAGATCTGTAAGAAGGTCTCAGAGAGTTTGTTGGTCATGAGAGGCTCCGGAAGGTCACGGAAGAACTGCTTTAACATGTCTGCTACATCGTAAGCAGACTGGCCTTCATAGTTAACACTGTCTGTTGAATTCTCATTCATTTGACGCAGAGCCTGAATTCTTGATTTGACTCCAGACTTCCTGAACAGTCCAACCTAAACATATTTGTATATGGAAAATTAAATACATTCACATCGAGTCTAGCAAGTCTGAAATGTCAGTGCGTTCTTTAGCTTCTATTCACAGGTTCTAATTTCATGGAAAGTTTTACTTCAATTAATTACTTGTTTTGTTCTGTTTTGACTCTGCTTTTACAGCCTGACCCAGAAACAATAAAAATTAATGGAATGTAGGGTTTTGGACAGCGAGTGCATGTAGTACAGACAAACCCACCTGGTCCAGGCAGTGGTTGCGGAGGTACCTCATCGCTTGCTGAATGCTCTGGGGCAGGGGCTGCCCTGTGCGCTGAACATTGACTTGCAGGGGCACTCCAAATACGTTTCTGTCTTTATAATCTGGCACTTTTATCCTTTTCATGAATTTTGGAACTGCCCTGTTTAAGCCAAGGGAACACCAAAGTTAAACCTCTATCTCATGTATTTCCAATAGCTCAAAAAGTTGGTAAAAATAAGTGAAACAACTTTCATACACTGAATAATATGAAAAGTGTTGAGATAATGAACTAGCTAATTCATTTGGGGCTGGCAGGGAGGAAAGAAGGACAAACCAGAGTTCTGCTAAGAGATAGGCTCAACATTCAGGGAGGTGAGATGCCTGTGAGTATTAATATGGTGCTACTCCATCAGTATTAGCAGGATAAAAGCTAGAGGGTAAAACTGCAGGGGCCAGACTGAATTGCAAAAGAGTCAAAATAAATCCTGCGGTCGATGACCCCTTATAACACTGCTTCTTTAGGTTTCAGGAAAGATGGGCATTTGAACAATGAGCTTTTGTATGTCAACTACTTGTTCTGCAAAGTCCTCAAAGTGGGTCCATCACCCACCGGTGTGCAGAACAGCAGGAAACTGGTGTAATACATTTGAGTTTGTCAGCTGAAAACGTCAGCTTTATAAACAGCCCCTTTGAGAGACGCCCCTCCTCATCAACCAGTTACTGTCATTAACTCCACCTCCTACTCCAGTTTCAATGAGAGGCCTTTCCATTTGCTTTTGACTCCAAGGAAAAAGTTACTAGATACAAAAGAATGATTTACTCCTAGCTCCCCAAGAGCGTTGGTTTCATAAGGGAAAAAATACCCTAATATGCGAAAATATTGAGAACATTTTCCTAAATAGAAGTTAACGTACTGTACAACAGCTAATAGGACACAGTAGCACTGGAAAACAGGGAGACCCATTTATCATTTCTATATACAGTACAGCTATACAAACACTCCCTTAGATTTATGGCTGACTAATCTGCTATATAGAAAAACAGAACCAATTTGTATTGCCATGTAGTTAAGTTTAGGGCATCATTGATATATGTATGAATAATACTTGCTTTGTCAAAAAACATGCCAATGGAATGTGAAAAAAACACATTGCGATCTCCACTGAGAATCCAAAGCATGCAGGGATAACCGGTCAATACTTATTTCTGTCTTTCAGAACAAACAACTTCTGTATTTAGAAAGGCTGACATAATAACAGCCTTTGAACAGGAGGTACTTCGATGCTGGAGTTAAATACTCTCTGTGACTCCTGGGGAAGGGAGGAGGCTGGTGTGTGGTGGGGAGAAGAAAAATTTTATTGCGTCTTTTGCATCCTGAAGGCTACATAGGCTGCACTGCAGATAAAATAATAGAAGAGCTTTCTGTTTCATTCATCTGACACAAAACATCCAACCTGGTTTACAAACACCTGTCTACAACAGAAATTGCTGGCTACAGAGAATTTCATGATTCTCCCAACCTGCCTTTCCCCACTCCCCACTTATTTTCACTACAAATTAACTTGATTAAAAAGAGGAGATAGTTGTCAGATAACTACCAGAACTAAAGGAAACTTGCACTATTTAATGACATACTCATATAGGGAAACTAATAAAAATATTTAAGAACAATCAAAGAAAAGCAAGCATCTTAAGATCAGTTAATGTTTTTGCTACTGCTCACTAATTGTCTCTTTCTATATATTCCTTTTTTGCTACGGAAAGCAGACATCTTCCTGCACAGAAAGTTGGCCTGTACTTCGTTGCTTCATTCCCTCCCACGCCCCCTAGAAACATATTTCCCAACCCTAATAGTATTACACTTAGGCAAAGGGCTAGTGATTTTAGCACTGTCTCAGGAAACCGCAAACCACTGTCAGCACATGGCAAGAGGAAGAAGTGCAAATATGGAAAGAAGAGGAATGGAGGAATTAGATGCATGCTCCCAAAACTTGTTTAGGCCTTGCAAAACTGTGTGCTTGTGTAAATAGCCTGTATGCACATGGCTCTGAACCCTTACCAGCTGAAGCCGTGCTTATTGGAAGGCGTATACTTCTCCAGGAGGGCAGTTAACTTCAGGAGAGAGTACTTCTGCAGCAGGTTCATCTGTGCCACCGACTGGCAGTTGATCTGCAGCGACGCTGAGCTGAGGCTGGGCCGGTGGGAGCTCTGGAAGCTGTGCCACCGCAGCTTATGCCTGCAGAGGAGACAGGGAACAGAGCAGGGGCTGCTCACTGAAGGGTCTTTGCAAGATATGTGCAGCACTAACCCAAATGTCCTGCTAAGCAGTCGTTATCTTCTGAGGTTTCAGAGGCACCAGGTGTTAAGAGCCTCTGACTCACCAGGGGCCGTGCAGCACGTGCAGCCGCACTCTGAGCGTGTTAACAACGTGGTCTTGCACTACCAGACACCCTCGGAGTGCTCCAGCCACGGTTTTCAGCCCCTTTCACTCCTAACGCAGTCAGAATCAACAAACTCCGTAAGGAAAAAAGGGCCCAAAATCTTAAGACACACCAAATGGGGGTTAAGCATCTCCAAAAGCCCCATTAAGTTTATATAAGCAGCTGTAGGCAACTAAATGACAACAGAAGCCAGGCCCAAAATGAGTTGTGCCAGTTTTAAAGGAAAATGGAAACAAAGCTAGAAAGAATCCAAATGCTTGTTTTAATCACAATACAAAATTTGCATCCAGCCCATGGTGCAACTCCCAACACAAACTGGGAGGCCGCTGGAGCTCTCCCAAACCCCCACTGTGCTACTGTAATGAAGAGAAAGTAAACAAGCTTCATTTTCCCCACGGACTGAATGCCCTACCATGTTGTTAAGAAATTGCCTGCTACTGCAAAGTGCCATATTTTGAAACAGTCTAAAGACAAGGCTTTTCCTACATACTGACACAAAACAGACGACACTTACATTAGCTCTCTTAGCCAGTTTGAAAACAGAATAAACCTGCTGTAGGTCCCTTTCCCTCCCACACACCACACACTATTTCAATCTGAAGAACTACCATCCCTCAAAACTGCCCTAATACTACTCCTACAACTGACTCACTGAGTTGACTGTTTGTCAGTGACAACTCAAGCTGAACACATACAGCTATACTGAGTGAGAATCACAAATATTGTAAAAAAAAAATCTAAATCTTTTGCTGGCCAGAATTGTTTTTCAAAGTAATGGGAACAGCATGTGTGTGCTTGAATTGCCGCAGCATCTACTGCACCAAGACCTTAACTGATCTTGGTGCAGTTGGAGTCCTTCAGGCCAGAGGGGACCTTGCCTGATCTGTGCATGACCAAATTTGTGGGCTGAGGGCTTGTGAACTCACCTGCTGGACCGCGTCAGTGAGGCGCCCACCCCAGAGTCTCTTCGGTCTTGCACCCCTGAGGGCTCTTCGGTTTCGTTCAGGGAATTTCCTGTACTGTCAAGGTCACTTGGCGTTGTTCGATCATTATCTACGTCAAGATGGATCTGCTTTGGAGAGGAAGGACACGGGGAAACTGAATCTAGTGCCGAGTCAGAGTCCCCTTCATCTGAGAACTTTTCTGACCACTGGTTCACTATTCTCTGCATCCCTTTGACGTGGTACAGGATGTCGTCTAGTTCTGGAAATATGTCTTCATTTTCGAGGTCAGCTAGATCACTTGTGCTGGAATACAGAATCGAGCCCGGCACGTTGTCGTAAATACTGAGGCGGCTGCTCACGGAGCTGGAGGAGTTGCGCCTTTTCCCCATGCCCAGCTCTTTGGAGCTGTCTCCGCTGTTCTCCCTCCGGAGGGCAAGGTGGCCATGCCCATGGAAACTCCCTGTCCTCCAATTCACAGAAGCGCTGCTTTCTGTTGGAGAGAGGTTGCCATTAGAGAGCGCCTTGGGAAAGGTGCCAGGCTTATGATCTTCAGGGATAAAAAACACAGTGTCTTCTGCAAAGCTTCCTCTGTTCTTAAAGTTCTGCTCCATGACGTCGCTGAACGTTGACTGGTTGAAGGGGTCGAAGCCTTCCAGGTACATGCCCACCCTTTTATTGTAGGCACTGAGGCTGCGTGTTCGTGTGACAGGACTGGGTGTGCTGACAGCACTGCTCGTTTCAGACTGACTACTGCTGCTGCTGGTCTGCGTGGAGTTGGAGACGCTCCTTTTTCGTACCATGGGGAGGTTAATGTGATTGCCATTGAGGGCAGAAATCTCCACACAGTTAAGCTGTTTCAGTTTGTCTTCATCCATCCCCTCTTGCAGGATGGGCCCACTAATAATAAGTCCAAGCTTAGAAGGAGCCTTGCTTTTGCCATGGTGAGAGCTCTTGATTTTGAGGCTCTCCATTCTCTTGAGCAGGCTCTTTGTTTTGGACTTGGGGTTCTTCTCACTGGCTTTCACACCAAAGCTGAAGCTGTTCAGCTCCCTGGGTGAGGGCAGGCTGCTGAATGAGTCATCATTTGCTATGAAATTGTTCGAAGAACAAACGCTCACAACGGAATTTGTCCTGGTGGTAGATGCCTCACTCTGCAGGGTTGGTTGGTGGCTGCTGGTGCTACTCATGCTGAGAATAGAAGCCACCTCCTGGCGTTCACTGAGGTCTGTTAACACACTCTCATGGCTTGCTGCATTCATAAGATGAGGAGCTTCTGGGGAGGAGGTATTCAAGTCTGCTTTGGGAGGGAACACATCAAACTCTTCAAGCCTAGACCACCTCTTGCTGTCCCTCTGAAAAGTCCATTTGCCACTTATTGCACAAGGTTCATCTTCATCTGAATCTTCACTCTGCAAGGAAGAGAATGCTGAAAATGCTGCTGCACACTGCTGAAAACTGCAAAGGCAGTTGCATTTAAACCCAATGCCTACTAGAACAATTTAAGTGTCTTGTTCTCACTAAATTTAAAGTGAAAACAGTTTTTTTTTTTTTCATTCCATGAGAGAAAGATTAGGCCATAAAGCCCATCACAGGAAAAGATAACATGGGATAGGTAATGTATGTTAACTGTTTCTAAATACTAAAGATACAAGCTTCATAAAAAGAAACAAACAATACAATCTGCTTTAATTGCTCTTTTCTGAAACTCCTAGTATCCACAGACTTTTAATTAATTGGTCACAGTGGATAGCCTTCAGATCAATGGAAATTCCTGGCATGCATAAAATTTTAAACTGGAGTCAGTGAGGGTTAGGGGTCCCTCTGGACTCTCTCCAAAGTTGTACTCTGTTGATAGTGGCCTTGTGTTTATACTCCTCTTTGCAATTAAGAGATGCTTCTCATACATTCTGACTCGTAGTAGCTTAATTCCTTACCCGTTCTGGAAGTTTAAAAGGTCTCCTAACTGTGACTAATGAGACAGTAAAAGAAACTCCTGCGCTGCAACAATTTGATGCCTCCAGGCTCTTAGCTGGTCCACTCGTCCTCCCACCAGCTAGCAGCTAACATTTTAAGAATGTCCTGTGAAGTTTCTGCTTCGGCCTTGCTCCAGGCAGATTTTAACACTCGCAGATAGTGAGCCACAAAAGCTCCCTGACAGTGTAGCACATAAGTGAATTGTAACCAGCATCTCCACTGATTATGTTTGATGTACGAGTAATGCCCCAGGGCGTAATTACATGTATGTCACTTATGTCTCAATCTTTTCATCTAAATCCTGAAAGTGAATGATCCTGGAACTGATATATTGGCTCTTCCACTCATCTAGAAAATTTCAAGTTGCACACGGTTGGAAGAATGAAGCCAAGGAGAGAGATCTTAGTACGACACCATGAAAACCCCGAAGAGCCTTCGGTGCTCGGAGTAGGAAACACTACTTGCCACTCAGCTCCAAGAGTGCCAAAGTTTCACTTAATTTGTTTAGATTGCTTTAACTGAAAAACAAGCACATGTGCATGCTCTAAACTGTAACTGTTTGTATGCCAGGAAGAGAAACTTTTATACTCTGGAAAAGAAATAAATTGTTCTTATTTCAAGTATTGTATTTATGTATAGTCTAGATTCTGATCTTTTCCTATTTTTATAGCAGATTTCATCAGCTAAGGAAAATAAGTAAACCTCCATACTTATTTTTAAGACCAAGTACTCCTGGGACACAGAGCCACTGTCATTTTCCTTGTTTCCCAGCTACTGCAAGATGATGGTTCTGTCCATGATTCAGAGAACTTAAGCTTGCTTATTTCAAGATTTTAGGAAAAAATAAATGAGTAAAATGATCTTAATTTGCAAAGTCAGTGCAAACATAAGGAAGTACATGTCTGAGTCAGCACAATGTTTTCCTAGCGTTAGAAAATTTTACCAGCTAAATACTGGCTTTAATGAAGCCAACACCTGCAGAGAACAGCCCATCTTGGATCCTGCCAGAACATGGGTGATGCATGAAAATCAGAAAAGACTGAAACAAAAAGTAGGATCCAGGCTCCAGAAGGTCTGGGGTCTGGAGCTGAAGGTCAGTTTGGTCTGGTCTCTAATCCCATCACTCTGATGTTAACAAGGTTCAGAAACATGGGTGAATCCTCTGGTGGCCATAAATGTCAATCCAGTGGTCTACACCTATTTGAGAGAAATCCTATATACGCTGCTGCAGACTGTTATCTTCTGGAGCTTGGATGCTGTTTCCAACATACCACAAACAGATAGGAAAGGGGGGATTAATTCCTCGTAAACAACCTTGGAGCACTTGTATGCATTCTTGTTAGGGGTAGGGCTGCATTGCATTGCCTTCGCTTAGTCATCTTTATCTGCAATAGTCATATCCCAGGGGATGGTATCAGCTACTGATCCCTTCTAGGACACACACATAGTTTCAAGACACCCATTGAATGTTTGCATGGTACCTTACTAGCAAAAAAAACCCAGTGACTGAGCTTTCTACTGGTATCACCTTACTGAAATTATACTGGATACTCTATTATTTATCACCATGCTTCACAGTAATTTGTGAAGAGCAAAGAAACTTTTCAACTGCTGCTGACTTCCCTGGAAAAATGTAAACTTTTTTTTTTAACATAGCTGATGTATTTCATATTATTTTTGCCTCATTTTTGAGCTATAACTAAAAAACAAGGAAACAATATGCCCAATCCTGTAAAGTTTGTCTCTCCTTTGCAGATCAAGAACTGCCCCACTGATCCTGTCTACCTTATAAAAGGAGAATACTAATGTGATAGTAAAATACTACTAACTAATAATAATAATGACATGAATGTGATAGTAAAGAGTCAAATCAGTAAATATTATGTCGAGACGATGTTCAATATTCAACTCGTTCTGGCGGGTCAGAATCCGCTCCATCCAGTCTGCACTTTATGGTCCTGACTGAGAGCACGTAATGAGGCACTAAACACTTGATCTCACTGCCCAGCAGTGAGGGTGGCCACAGAATTTCAGATTTAAAGCCAGTATCCCATGAAAGCATTAGCCAAGCTACCAGCTTTTATACATGGCCAAGCCCTGCAGTTTTCATTCAGTGAGAACACAAAATAAAGCATATACAGGGTTTTGACTCATGTCCTTGGTAGCTTCTATACAGCTTCGAGGTATCATCCTCGACCACAGATAAAAAAATTACCTTTTTTTTTTTTCAGTTAATGCAACAGAACATGTTCAAGGCACTTACCCTCTTCCTGTGGGGACTAATTTCTAACTTCATCACTGCACATTTGTTTAAAGTATTTAGGCGCCTGCAAAGCAAAGAAAACCATATTGAGAGAATAATCTCTTTTTTTTCTTTTCTTTTGACACAAGCTATTCCAGTTCAAATGCTTTTGTGAAGGCTGTGTCCACATGTCTTTGCACACAAAGAGGCACAAGCAGAGCTGCAGTTAGAGCCCTAATTACTCTTAATTATTAACCCATTACAAGCGGCTGTATTTTGGCTTCAGAAGGAGGGACTGATGACCATTTCTCACTATTCCCTGAATGAAGGAAAAGGAAGCAAATAGAAACTTAGTCTAGATTGAGAAGAGCCTTGTAATCAGTTAACTGAAGTAATTATGTTTAAATATCAAGCTTCATTTTATACCTAACCCTGGAACAATCCAAAGATGGTTTCAAGGTTTGGGCTGATATCGCTCGGCCCAAAACCGCACGGGAGAAGTGTGGTTAGATAAATGCTAGTGCTGGGGGAAGGCAAAGGGCAGGAACAGGCTGTGACTGATGCAGAAGGGAGAAAAGCTCCTGTTGTGGAATGGCAGCCGCCAGGTGGAAGCTGCTCCGAGGAGGCTACGGTTCCGTCTGAGAGCAGCAAAAAGCAACGAGTCAAAAGAAACAGCCCTGTCCCCTCTCCTGCCCCCGCTCCTCGTGCTCCCTAACGCTCTGGCACTTGTGCAGTACTTGCATGGAGGCTGTGCTGCAGGAGGGAAGGAGCTGAGCTCAAAGCAAAGCTCATGGAGCACTTTTTGGGGCTGAATCCCTGCCAGCTCCAGCGCCAGGGCTGCAGGAATGACCACGTGCCAAGGCAGGGGCAGAGCTGCAGAGCTGCCCCCTTCGCACAGCGTGCCGGCAGCCCGGACTCCACAGCGGCAAAACGGGGCTCTTGAGGCCCAGCTTCGTTCTGAGGGAAGTTGTAGAATTTTCACATAATTCTTCCTTCAAACAAAATATAAAGAGGAGGCTGCACTGGCATTTCTGAAAAGCTAAAAAAAAAAAAAAAATGCTGACTTGTTCTGTTGCCTCAGATGAGTCTCTTCAGATTCCTGAAACTGGAAACTTGAAGCTAGAAAATGTGGTGCAGGAAGCGTTACCAGCTTCCTCCCTTTCCTCTCGCCTTTCATGCGCGGGATTGGTTGCAGATGGTATTTACACAGGGCTTCATCCTGAGGCCATCAAAGAAAATGGAAAAGCTCCTACTGGTGCTTTTGCTGCAGTTGTGAAGTAAGGAAAAAAAAAAAAAAAGACGGTTTGATCTATAATTAGACCCAGGCACAACACAGCAGAAGAAAAACAAGAGGAATTGCCATGGGTCATACAGTAGGCCAGTGGCAGAAAAGCTATCCAGATCTCCCAGTTTTTAGGTTTGCTCTGATTTAAAAACCCTGTAGGCGCAGTTGCTCCGGCTGCAGTTCGTGGGTACATGCACAAGCCCGTGGCATTTTGGAACTGCTGCTTGCTGTGTGGGTGAACACCGACCGTCCCATGTACACCCTGCACAACAAAACTGATATTGTTTATTTGGGTTATAAGAGGCCACACACTGGCAAAAAGTTGCTTCCTTTTCTCTGCTTTAAAAACATTCTCTTTTCCAACTCCTCAGCCTCAACACCAGGACATACTAATGCGGTTTCAGTTCCACATTGTATAATAATTCATGTATTTTATACTGCTGAAACCTTTGACTCCAGCCTGTTTCCTTAACTAACCTGCCTAGCTGCTAATAAAGACCGTCTTTGATTTCACAGAGATTAAATTCACAGATTTTTCTCATACTCAAATTAAAAACCAGAAATAGGCGAAGAAGGGAAGAGAAAGACTGTTTCCACAGAGGCCCTTAGAGAAAAACTGCAGCAAAGATCCCCAGGGCACACCTCGCAGAAACGAACATAAAGGCAAGATGAGGTAACCCCAAAGAGCAGGATGCAACACAGTAACAGCCAGCACATACAGGCTCTATTACACATCTGACTTGATTTAATTACAAAACCACTTTCCTTTTAAATCTAAATGCTCTGCAGTGATTGCTTTAGCTCTGTAAGTTTCCTTTCATATGTATACACACACATCTGTATGCATCACATATCTTGCTTTAACTTGACAATTCTAGTCAATCAATGTGTAGTTCTTTAAGCTATACTACACTGAGCTTTATTATGATAAAAACACAGTATAATAGTCAAAAAAGCCGTCAAAACATATTACTGAGTTTGCACAGATAAGAGTTGCCTACACAACTTTAATTAACCTTCTGTTTGTACTGCAATACTTTTAAGCACACATTTTCTGCAGATCTTCTCATCAAACTGTTGCTTGCAAAGGAACCACAATTTTCTTTTCTAGCTCTGGACCTTATCTCTTGATAATTTCATTCACAAGTATAAATTCTACTGACAATTTCCAGCTGTGTCTCATTCTTCAGCTCTGTCTCAGTCTGCCCCAACCTGTCCCTGCGACATCTTCACATGGAATCCACGAGGATGGGGCAGGATGGCTCTGTCTGCTCAGACCGCCCTGCTATCTCCGTCTTAATTTCTGTAACAACTCCTATCCTGGCCACTTTCTCTGATGACCATGGGCAAGCAGACCAATCTTACTCATCACTGAGATAATCATCTTTGAGTCAGACCTCTCTCTGTAGGTCCTCAGATCCAAATGGATCTTGGTTCCGCAGTGTCTCCGGGTAACTTCTTGAAGATGTCACTTTTCCTGGTGCTCCACATATGCAGAACTCTGATCCAGGCTCTCACTCTCCTTCAACCTGGCTCTGTACATCCCTTCTTGAAGTGATAGATCCAGTTATATGTAGCTTTCAGTAGCAGTACCTAAATCTCCACTGGCCTGTACAGCCCTAAGTTACAATTACAAGAAAGTTTGTATTTTCATGTGCACAGAGCACTTGAGAACTTCCAGTTACCTTCTACAGAGGATACAGAAAATATTGTATTCAAAGACAGAAATGCTACCCTGGATTTCATGGAAATGGTAAGAGGTGGTTATCTGACACAACACTTATCCCTGCACAAAATTCCTCCATTACCCAAAGCATGAAGCACTGGAGCTCCTCTCAAGACAGGAGCGCACGATGCATTTTTATCTAGTCTTTTTCTCTAAAATGGACAGACCAGCACAGCTTTCTTAAGGGTACAGCCTTTAAGAAAGGCAGCTTGAACAAGACATTCACTGTCAAAAATGTAAGCTTGAATAGATAATTTCAGCAAAGCTGTAAATATGGTCCTGTAATAGAAAATCTTAGTTAATCTTAACATCAGTCAGTCTTATTATCAGCTGTAAGCATTAGTAATTAGTTCTGCTCTCATTAACAGGAGAAAACTCTGCCCATTGCACCCTTGGAAAGTTAGCAAAACAGTGCATTAGGTTTTTAAACTACAATTTCCAATCTGCATCACCATATGACCTAGCTCTAAACTTTAGTTTGGAATATTTTCTTAATGGTTTTAAATTCTTAATTCCTCATTTCAGGGCAAATTCCAGCCCATTATACCTGTAATGATGACACACAGGCTCTCTTATCTCAATTCAGCGCAAAGTCTTTATGCTGGCTCCTGGGGTCCAGCTGCATGTCCTAGCCTGCAAAGAAGTCCAGCTCTCTACAAGTCAAATCATACGAGCAGTCAGTGCTGGTCATGTTAATCTGCTACAGTCAATTTCTTGAGTGAGAAATCCTCAATGTTAAAGATTCAAAAAATCTCATATAGAAGTTTTAAGAAACCTCTTGCTCAGATAGTGTGGCAGTGTTCTAGTTACATATAAAGAGAATAAACAGGATTTCCATCATGGCCTTATATGTATCACATAATGATTTTTTTTAACCATTTATCTTCTATTGTTATCAAGTCCAACAAACCACCTCTGTAAACCAAGTCTCAACCCATATTGTAGTTATTTTTTTTAAGAAAACCTTGAACAGGATGACTTGCTGACACAATTTTGCAGAATGCAGCCCGTTAATAAGCTATATTTAAAGCTATATATTAGCTTTCCTGCTCACATTGATAATATCAGTGAAAAATAATTTACATATGTTCAGATGTAAAATACAATTCAAAATGTTTCAAGCTTAAAAATGCCCTGTTGCTGTAATTTCTATTGTCTGTTTCAAAATTATTTTTTCCTGCCATAGGTCATGCATTAATTAGACCAAGACAATTAGGACTGCTAACGGCACTGCGGCTGTTGCAGGGAAAAGCACATTCTCAGCACAGGAAGGAAGCACAGAGCACTCGCCACTTTGTTACCATCAGCTGCATACACTGCTTATTAAACTCTTTGCTGAAAATGCAAACCACTCCCGAACTGTCACGACTTCAGTCAAAAAAAAAACAGAAATAAAAATCCCAGGTTAAAAAGCACTTCTGCGGCAATGGATCCAAAATACGCTGGCTTGACTGTATTTTGTTTTCCTGGCAAGGGAAGACCATTCTTCTGCAAACCAGCATTTTTCACACCACCACACTTTCTGTTCGGTGTCTTCACAAGTCTTGGAGCACACAAATCATCAGACCCACGCATCACATTTTAGTACTAATGGAGTAGATGCCTTGCACCACACCTTGAGCTTAACACTAATGAGAGTTTTCCCCTCCCAAAGACTGGCTGATGAATCTATTTTCTTAGCTTTAAAATCTTGCAAATATTTCTGAAGAACTTAAAACTCTAGTTCCTCTCTTCTCCGTCCAAGTACGGCAGTTATGGCATGAGAAGGAGTTTGTAATTCTCTCGAACTGTTCACATTTAGAATTGCAGACATTGTACATGTAGTATCCAAAAGCATTCATTTTGTGGGCAATTTGGAAAACTGCCATAGTGAAGGACAGAGGCAGCAAACTGCGTTCACAGCCAGGCCACAGAAGATAAGAAAAGTTAAGGTATTTATGCAACTTGAGATTGTGGACTCACACCAGGGAAGGTAACTGATGGACCAGTGTCACACAGAGCCGTCGTTACTGCTTTTACATTAATAGGCAATGCTGGGGCTCCAGCTCTGTAAGAACACACGGACACAAAACACAGGCAAGTCTTGCTGCCTGTGCTGCAGCCATCACAGTTCTGCGTCCACGTGCCTTACTTGTTTGGGAGTCAGTAGTGAAAACAAATGAAGAATGTTAATAAAAAGTACACAATACTTGGCACAAAGGCTCTTGCCATTTTCTTTACGTACCTGCATAGGGCCTCAATAGCATCTCTGTCCAGAAAGTCGTGCTCCCGCTTGACTAAAGTGATGTCAATGGGAAACAGGAGATCTGCAGGAATAGAGATGGATGAGAAATCAAAAAGACTCCTATTCCCAGTGGCAAATTATTTCAAAACAACCAGCTGCCTCATTTCAGCTCAGTAAGATGGCACTTCTAAGATAAACACATTATAATATCACAAACGCCAGAAAAAATGCTTATTTTTCATGTAAAAGGTTTTGTCACGCACCTTTGATAATGGAAAGTTCATGTCCATAATGGGAAAAAGACCCCAGCAAAGTAAAGATGAAACAATGTGACAAGGAACGATGCAAATGGGATCCCCCTCTCTTGCATCAGAAGCTCAAACTGATGCAGGCTCATTTTATTTAAAGTAAATACACAATCTCCATCAAAGTACTAGTATCTCACATTAAAGGAAAAAGGTCAGTGAAGCCAAAATCTCTGGAAAAGAATGAAAAACAAAAACTCCTTGGCTGTTAATCAAGCTATTTAGACATTTGACACTGTTACAACGTTAATGAGATATGGACTGAAATGAAAGAAAGCCAAGCTGCTGAGGCCCGTGCTGCCTCCTTTCCCCAAAAGATTATTTAGATAAACAACTGGGAGAGTGAGGAGGAGGAAACAATGTGGGCAGAGTGCTGAAAATTTACTATAGCTCTGAAGCAGCAACCAGATATTTATTATTTAGTGTCCTCCACAGATTCCTCACTGTCAGACAGGTCCTGATCCTGCATTCCTTGCACAGCCAAAACTCCCACCAAAGCCACTGGGTGTTCAGTGCACAGAGCAGCAGGAGAACGAGCTCTGCATGAACCTCTGCAGATGCCCTCAGATTTCCTGGTCTGAGTGACTGCCTATGAAGGATATTTATCTCCAGGGAACAGGGAAGAGTCAGCTATAATGATGAAAAGAATAGGACTGATATTAATTTGTGGGTGGTAAAGTGGATAACGTTATGCTTTTTAGACCAACAGAAGATTCGACAAATGTTTTTTTTTTTCCCCTATTTTTTCCTGAGGAATAAACAGATAATGACTTACTCTGGGAAACACAAGAAATTCTGTTTTTTCTATATAAATCTGTAGTATTATCAAAGCAGGGCACAATTCTGTCCGCAGAAATTACTCAAAATCCACAGAAATCTACCCATTTTAAATTAGTATTGCCTGGGACCTCTGCCTATAGGTGACTTCTCAGGACTTTGGTATGATGCCCCATCAACCTATAGGCCACCCCTTCACTACTGTAAATTCAAGCTGCAAGCTGAGAACATGAGCACATTCTGCTGGCATTTTCCAGCTTTTCTCTGGGTGAGAAGCTTTCCCTCTGAGAAAGTTAATACCTTAAAGTGCCCACAAGAAAACATATGGGAAGACTTAAGTGAGGGGGTGACCAGAAGTTGATAATCTTTACAAATCCCGTTTTTGTTATGCTTAATTTACATTGCTGTTGTGGTTGCCAGAGAGGCTTGAAAAGGGCAGTGGGATATTGTTTTCATAGGAGGAGAGCTCTCTTGCCAGTGAGATCTTGCCAGGCTAGATCTTGCTCTCACCTCTGCCATCCTTCTGATGTTTGGCAGGACATGCTCCTAAATTAGAACTTCAGCCAAGTTTAGAGCGCATATAGGCAGGACATGCTTTCTGAATCAAGGGATTTCTCATGAGACTTACACCCCAGCACAGCATGAAACCCTCAAACCCACACACTGAGCTGTCGGTCTTGCCCCCAGCTTTAACAAAGACTGGAAGTCCTGACCCTACATCCCAAGGAAATCTGTCCTTGGCACTTTTGTGGTACCAAAAAGGAGAAAAAAGGACATAACAAAATGAAACCTCATTTCTGAACAGGGAAACAAGTTTCCCCAGTGCTGCTTTTGCAAGTGCTATTATCATCTCGTATTGCCAATGCAGCTGCAAATCAAAGCTCCACGAGATCATCTTTCATGAAAGTCAGCTCAGCCAGTAGGCTGTAATCTCCAACAGTTATTCACTGTAAATAATGGACTTTCTATGCTCACTCTTACAAGCAGCAGCTGGAGTTTGCTTTGTAAAAATGAAGAGGAAGAGAAGAGTGCTTAATAGTTACATTATAACATAAGTATAATTAAAGTAGGCAGGAAAAAAAGTAAAAAGGTAATACACATATTAAAAAAGGACCCTGAGGATGACAACTATCCAGCTATGGATAGTTATATGCAAGAAAATATAACTCGTTTGTTTTTGAACTACAGGGAAAGTACAATGTTGCTAACACATGATTCAAGTTGTAAGAAATCTGGAACATTCACACTAAACCAGAAACCTGGAACAAACGTAAAACTGCAGGAGGGCTTCCGAGTGCCATAGCTGCAGATAGGCGTGTTTGTTCCATAGGGATGCTACCAAACGCTCACGTGTGGGGTGCCTACCTTCATAAAGCTGGGCGTACTGTGGGAATCCTGCGGCCCGCAGCCAGTCGCAAGCTTCCTTGGCCTCGATTTCTGGAAGGGAACGGGAACAAGGCACCGCGGGTTAGTGAGCTGCAAAACAAGAACTTCCTTTCTACCACTTCTTTTACTCCTGCTATCAAAAGAGCAGAGAAATATTTTGCTGCTTCCAGCTGAAACACAGGTTTGCTGTTCCCCGCTTGCTTTTCTTTTCACTACCAAACTTAATCCAGATTGGGGAATGCCAGCTGTGTTTTATCAAACGCCTATAATTTTAATAGCTTTAATAAAGACACAGATGAAGACGGCGAGACTTATGAATCATTCTGCACAGGTTTTGTTAGCACTAGAGCATCCACGGCTACCACGAGCATGAGCAGCATCTCCTCATTAAACCTCTCGGCACAACTATTTTATCTTGTCAGAAATCCCCAGTAGGGCTTATAATACTCTGTGCTTTAACATCTTGCAGACAGTACGCCTGGACCCAAGCCTAAGGACAACCAACACGCTGTATTGCAGCTCACTCGAGTGCACAGTTACTACCCGGTGAGAACTGGGCTACACTGGAGGTCTTCAAGGCATTTATGGGTTCCTTGGGGTATCACAGGAAACTCACATGCTGCAAAATTAAGCAATTCCCATATACCTACATGACACTAAAAGAAAGGTAACATTCTGAGCATGGTTTATATTAGCTTGTGAATAACTACTCATAAATTATCTCCCAATACAAGCAGAAAAAAAAATGTTATCTTATCAGATTGCAAGTTGGAAAAATGTAAAAGGTATTTGCGGTATTCTCTAAATGCTCAGGAAACCGACAGGGATTAAATTGCTCATTCAAGAAAGTGCAACTGTGAATTATTTAGCATCCTACTTAGATCAGACAGTGAGCAATCAGAAACTCTTAAAGTTCATTCAGCTTTGATTATATTCACTCTCCTTAATGGAGCAGAAAAGAAAAGCTTAATTATGTACAACTGACTAGACGATTTTGCCACCTACTTGGCCAGGATACTGTTGCTCCTTGCTGCAGAAGCTGTGTGCAATGAGTTTAATATGATCGCTCAGAACACAGGCTACTGCCTATAGCTCAGCAAGCAGCCAACTCAACATAAGTAAAATACCTCTGGATTTTGCCACATGTTATGAAATATTCCCAGAGAGGTATATGCACACAGCTAAAATCAGATTCAACAGCAAATATCTTTCAGGGTCTCCAAAACGACAGCAGTCCTCCCCTAATTTTCCAATTAGCTACAGGAGGGTTAGAATATTTGAGCTTTGCCAAACTGCTTTGCTAAGATACATATCCAAATCAAGGGCTTAAGGTGAGCCAAAGCACAGCATTCCAGATAAATAAACAGCTCGAAACCCACTCTCGCTGCAGCCGACAAGCAGGCATTTGTGCAACCTGTGTTTGCTTCAGCTTTGGGTTATGGGACCACATGAGAGCAAGCACGTACAGGCATATTTACTTAGCTACTCATTAAGAAAAAGCATTCTTCAATGCAAGGAATTGTAAAGTTATGCTTAAAAATGGATTTTAATTTTGGTAGATTCTGGAAGTATATGGGAAAGATAACAAGGTAAAAAAAGAATATAAAATATATCTTAAAGTTGTACTATTAACAGAAGAACAAACAACAGAATATTACTATGTCAGATGTAATGAAAACATTATACTAAACATTCTGCAATTAATTTTTAAGGATGCTTGCAATAAAAATTTATAGTATTTTACAGATTATGACTGCAAACTGAAGAAGTGATTCCCAATAACCAGTATTTGTTTTCTGAAAAAAGCAGCTAGATGCTCACAGTGTAATGGACAGAAGTGTCAAATTCCCACCTACCACATGGCTCTTAAATGGCATTAAATGTTTGTCCACAGGTCCTTTACAGAGCACCCCAGGTATATGACCTATAAAATGTTTCTAGAGCTATAAAACTATAAATATACATTTATCAGGCAGTTTTAAGGTTCCCAGTAGAAACTGTGGATATCTTTTCTGAAAATATACGTGCAAGGTATGCAAAGGTCATATTTTATAGTCATAGAGATATGAGGCACCTTTGGGATTTTTGAATTGTACTTGCCTTTCACAACCCCTTTGAGAATCCCCCAAGAAACGGTTTGGATCTTTAGATGGGGCAATAGCTGTCACTTCTGGCTGCCCACGAGAGTTGCAAAGAATCATAAAACACCAATGTACTTGCTAATCATTTAGTTTATGCAATGCCCAGGGATGGATTTCAGACAGCACCAAGCACTTAAAAGCAGTATTAATTTGCTGACAGTCAACACAGTAACCTCAGCCCATCCATCAGCCTTCCTGAAATAAGAGATGGAGACTTAGAGCGCTAAAGCTTGGACAGGTACATCTCCCTTCCACAAGCTAACTGTAATCTGCCTTTGAGAATAAACTAAAATAGCAGAAACAGGTAAAACATTCAGGCTGTCTGAGAAGAGAAATCTTATTCCCACACTAGCGGCTTTGCTGCCCAAACAGCAGCTTTTCTGCCAGCGTGGGAGCCTCGGCCCTCCAACTCTTGGCTTCCCGGCAGCCTTGGATGCCCTCGCAAGCGGACATAGGTAGCACGTGCACATCCCTGTCACCCGAAACAACGGCATCTGGGATAACGAGAGATTATCTCAGCGACAGACAGAGCTGCCAAAGCCTTTTTCTCAAGATTTAGATTTTAGTATATATGGATGAAGTTTCAGAGGGGCAGGACAGCTGGACATGCTCATTCAGCCTCCGCGGATCTACCTCGCCGCTCATCACCCACACTGCGAACGTGCTCCTTGGCATCGGCGGGTTGGGAAGGCCCCTTGCAAGGCGCTTCTAGCCCACACTCCCACTGCTTGAAGGAAACCCTCCTGAAGCCCTAACGTATCTGCCACGACCTGCAAAGCCGCTTCCCCGCCACGTGTTTCATGTGAAGACCAGGCAGCTAAGCTGAGGTTGGTCTCACTTGCTCCTCTTGGCTCCTGCAGGGTCATTTCCTTTTTAAAGCCAGCCAAGACGAGAGACTTAAATGATAATGTCAGTTAAAACCTCTACAAGAAACTACAATTCAGTATACATTCCAGGCAAAAACGTGTGTCCAGCTTGACAGATGTATGTCCCGGGCTGCTTTCTATCCCCCAGCAGTAGTTTCTCCTATGAAAGAACTGCTGGAAAGACAGAAATTACACTATTATTTTCAAATGTCCTGATATACAAGAAATGCTCTTAGACAGTAAAACAAAGCAAAACCAAAAAAAGAAGCAGCACAATGAAGTCTTTATTCTTTGGTGTTGTATAAGCAAACAGCGGGCAAGTGTGTTCAAGAGGAAACAGGAAATTTTTATTGGAAACAGCTTTATTTGCTAGCCTGTTTCACAAAGCAGGCCTGCATGTTTAAATGAAGGGTAGGAGGTCCTTTTGTGTAAGGTTGGGAGCCATTAGTCCTTATTTACCCACTTCCTGGGGGGTTAGGACGACCCAAATCTTCTCCAGACTAGTAAGTGAAAAACGGGAACTCCTAACTACCTTCTTTTGTATTGCTGGACCTGTATAGTTTTAAAACTTGATAGCAAATATACCTCAATTCACACCCTGGTCAATACTACAATTAGAGATGAGAAAATTCATGATACATATGATCTTGGTCTGGATGATATCTTGCTATAAAACAAAAACCCTGCACATTTTGATATCCTTCCAGGGGGAAAAATATCTAACAGTCAGCTTCCATTTTCAGCAGAAATAAAGATATTGATTCAAAAGTTGTATTTTTTGTTTTGTTTTCTTCATTTCCCTTTAGGCAACTTAAAACTTAAGCACTGGTACTTTCAGAGCAGGAGCCAGATGCATCATCACGCAGACAAATATTGGTTTCATTTTCACCCAAGAGCTAAACGTAACACAAGCGGTTCTTCCAGGAGGAGGATTCCTCTCGAGTCAACTCAGGCACCTTTATGCCCCTATTAACAGCTCCACAAGTCAGCTCTACTCTTCTCACCCTTTGGCTATGCCAAATCAGTGGATTTTAAAAATCTACAATGAGAAAAAAATCTGTCACTTCCAAAATACCGAGCTGAGCTGCTGAGAAGCAGCATTCTGGATCATGTTTTTAACGTTAGTGTGGCTCAGAGCTCAGAAAGCTTCATGGGACAGACCTGCACTGTCCAAGCAGAAGCCGTCGTTCTTCTGTGGGCTTCAGTGACATTCCTGACCTATGAACCGTGGTGCCAACGCTACATTTGATCAAGTTATTCCTTCCACTCAGTCTATACATAAATGAACATGGATGGGAAGTCTGAGACAAATCTGCAGCAAATTCTATGGCAGCTGTGTAAAAATGAGTCGGCCACGCACCAAAAATGGTTAAATTAGTGCTGGGTTATTTGTCATATGCTTGCAGGCCTTTACAATGGGGACAGCATCACTTCCCAAGAGCTAGCCTCTTTACATGTCCGTATTCACGTGCCCTTAGATGGTTTTCAGTTTGAAGATATGGCTTGAAAATACTAAGTTCTTTTTCAGAAGTATATTTTTCCCCTCAAACCTATATAGCTAAATATTCCTTAGGTGGCATTATTAACTTGGTGCTGCATAGTTTTGCAGAAACCCGCACCCACATTTTTGCTTTCTTTAGCACTTGCTAAGTTACAAGACACAACATTTTATAAAGATAATGCAAAAATAAACATTGAAACTTGGTCATTCTGTCAATAAACATTCAACCAATACAAGCTAGGTAAAAAACAAAAATCAAATCCCTCAAAAGTCTCCTGTCAAACTCTTCTGGAATCTCTTCTTATTCTAAGAGATTAATCTATTTTTATAACACTATTCTAAAATATTATTGTTAAGTCAACTTTGTTGCATTAATTTGACTAGGGATTAATTTCTGGAAGTACCAGTGAGGCAAGGAGATAACAGGCATGGATTTTGCACTGCTGAAGAGCTTGAAAGGTTCTGCACTGAGAGCTGAACGGCTTTCCAGGAGGCTCCTTTTTTTCCCCTACCACTTTTCAAGCACAATTTAAAATTTGCCAT